CTGACCGGGCCTGCAGATTAGAGAATTAAGGACTGTTTTGGAATTGATTTCTGAAAGGGGTGTGCAGGGCCTCCCATGCCTTGATCTGTGGATTTCTTTGGAAATCTGCGGAGTGTGTCTGGAAAAACCCAGGTCTCTTCTGCTCCTCCTTATCTTTTTTCTTTTTTAGGGGACGGGGTTTGGGTCACACCCGGGCTGTGCTTTGGGCTTACTCCTGTCTCTGTACTTCTAGCAGGTTTCGGGGACCAGATGGGGTGCCGGGGATTGAACTCAGGTGGGCTGTGTGCAAGGCAGATGCCCTACCCACTGCACTGCCAGTCTGGCCCCATCCCTGTTAACCCTTGCATCCCTCAGCTGTTCCCTTTTCCCTCCTTTTCTCGTTTCCCCCAAGCTTGTGGATTTTTGTAGTACAACTATTTTCAGGTGGGTAGAAACTTTCTTTCCTTGAAAGGAACTTAAACAATCTGGAACACCCTGGCATCACCTCACCTTTAAAATGTAATAGCACTTAGACACTTCAAATTCTCCACAAGGCAGGGTTTTGTCTTCTGTTCTTAGAAGTTCATTTTCTTTTCTTTCTTTTTTTTTTTTTTAAGGACCCATTAAATTACATATTGCCTAAAACAGGTGGGCCTGCCACTCTTTGATAGGCTGTCAAGTCTCATTAAGTCTGGGAGAGAGCTGCTTTCTGGCATGCTGCTTCTGGCTGAGTGGGTGTTCGTAGGCGGGGAGCTGTGTGCTGAACCCCTTCACTGGAGAGGGGGTCCCTCCTTTTGTTGCTAATTTGGTGAAGACTGAAATGAGGCTCCAAGCGGGGGCAGAGACTTTTTTTTTTTTAAGGGGCTGGAGCTTTTGCTTCTGCCACATTCATCTCTTGCCTGGGTATACCTCCCGCCATTTTTTTTTTTTTTTTTGCAAGGCAACACCAGAGAAAACCTGGGCCTAGTGGCCCCGTGTCCCCTGCCTGGCTGCCGGAAGCAGTGAGTGGTCATGGGCAGCTGTACTCTGTCTACTCCACCCGCAGGACTGAAGTGGTTTTTTTTTTTTTCTGTTCTCTCCCACCCACCCGAGTGGGGTTTCTGGAGCTTGCCCCGACTTGGGTCTGCCCTCCCTGAGATTCACGGACAGTGGTGCTCAGGGCTTACTTCTGGCGGGCGTGGGGGGTGGGGAGGGGTGTGGGCAGGGTGTCAGATGGGTTCTGAGCATCCTGCTGACTCTCTGGCCATGGGTCCACCTTACTCTAAGCCTCTGAGATCATGACTCAGTCTGAGCCCAGGGAGAATAGACTCGCCCCCAGGTCCCAGAGTAGAGGGGAGGCCAAGGAGCTCCTGGGTCCAGACTTAACTCTTCACTCTGGCCCTGCACTCTCTGTTTCAGGGCGTTCAGCCTGTTCAGTCCCGCTGATGGCATGACTCTCCAGAGTCGATTGTGACGAGGAGGCAGGTCCTAGGAGGCCAGTGATTTCTCCCAGTTCTGTTTTGCTGGGGCTGTGCCAAGAACTCAGGACTTACGACTTCGGGGCTCTGTGTGTGTGTGTGTGTGTGTGTGTGTGTGTCCAGGGGTTCTCTGGAGGTAGGTGATTGAGAATCAAGCTCTTCCCCTTTGTGTGGAAGAGACAGGGGGTAGGGATGGTGGGGCAGGGGTCACCTTTGTCTTGAAATCGGCGGTTAGTCTCCTGGAATCCTCAGGTTTTCCAGGAAGCTTCTTCTCATGCGGTGCAGTGGATCAGAAAGAGGACTGGCTAGAGAGGTGTTGGTAACTGCTTGCTTGGTTGAACTCTTGATCACTTCAGGTTGCTGACTGATGTCCACCTGGACAGAGATCTCTAGGTTCCAGCCAGAGGACTCTGACCTGGGCCTCATTTCTGTCAGAATGTTCACATAGAACCTGGATTGATAAGACCGCGGTAAAGATATGAGGTTTTTTTTTTTTTTTTTTTAATTTTTTAAAATTTTTTTAAGATATGAGGTGTTTGCATCGAAATATCCTCCGTGCTGTCCGACAGGCTGAGCAGGATGGTTTCGTCGTGCACGTTGTAGTTAGTGGAACATGTGCTCTTGGAATACAGAAGCGCCGCGGGGCCCAAATGAAATGAAGGCCGCATGGCTTAGCCGTGTGCTGAGGAGACCCATGCCTCGTGGGCTGGTGTCGGTGGCTCAGAGCTGCGGGAGGGCCTCTGTCAGGAGCCACCCACAGCCCCTGACGCTCCTTCAGCAACCCTGGGGGAGCAGATTGAGGTGTAGAGCAAGCACTTTAGAGCCCTCGTTTTGGTCCCAGATGGTGTCCGGTGCGCAGGTGCAGAACTGGTCGGTGCCAGTTCGCAGCTGTGTGAAGCAAGAACTGTGTGGAGGAATGAGTTCTTGGTGCTGCTGCTACAACCTCTCATTTGATCCTGAACGTTAGGGAGGTCAGTGGAGAGATAGGACAGTGGGTAGGGCACTCGCCTTGCATGCCACTGACCCTGGTGTGATCGCTCGCACTGCGTATGGTTTCCCGAACACCTCCAGGAGTGATTCCTGAGCACTGAGCTAGGAGTAAGCCCTGAGCACTGCTTGTGTGACCCAAATACCAATCCCTTCATTTTTTTCAGTGTTGTGTATGTGGGGGGAGGGGCGGGGTACAGGTGCTGAGACATAGCAAAGAAAGTAAGACAGCTTGCATACTTCCGGCCTGATTGTCCCTGGCACTATGCATGATCCCTCAGGGCACTGCCAGTCCTGAGAATGGCAGGAATAGCCCCTAAGCATCATCACATGTGGCCCCAAACCTCCTCTTCTCATCTTGTTCCATGTTGGGGCCACACCTTGCGGTGTTCATTGAGGGGCTGCTTCCAGCACTGTGCTCAGGCATTGCAGGCTGTATTGGGGACTGAACCCAGGCACCCTCGTGCAGAGCATCTGCTCAGCCCATCCACCTGTCTCTCTGGTCCCTGAAAAAAAATTTTGTTTTTTAATGCGATGGCTGTGCTCATATAAGTGCTCAATGATCCTTATTAAAAAAAATGCATAGGGGCTGGAGCAATAGCACAGCGGGTAGGGTGTTTGCCTTGCACGTGGCTGTCCTGGGCCCTGGACACCGCCAGGAGTAATTCCTGAGTGCAGAGCCAGGAGTAACCCCTGTGCATTTCCGGGTCCGGGTGTGACCCAGAAAGCAAAAAAAAAAAAAAAAAAAGCATAGCGCTATAGAGGAAAGTACAAAGGAGAAAATTTTGTAGCACTTGGATCCAAGTCTTAGTCTTAGCACTTGGATCCTATCTAGGAGCCTGTGGTGGGCTCTTTGGGGGACGGTTTGCAGGTAGTGCCGTGAACATTCTCATACAGACCCAGGAGCTGGGGAAATGCATAAAGAGCCGCCTTTATAACAAGTTGATCCTGTAATGTTTGATACTTTCAAAATAAGACACGCTTAGCTAAAAAGAATGGAAACTGAAGAAGTTATTGAGCTTCAGATGTTCTTCTCCAAAAGCAATGAGTTCTGGTATGTCTCTCAGACGTGAGGTAGTGATGCTTCGCAGGGGCTGGTTTTGTCCCTGGGGCAATCTGACCAGACATTTTTGGTTGTCAGCACCAAGGGAAGCTGGGGTGATGACATGACTGGAGGTCAGATCATGGTCAGGACAGGGTTCCGCAAGTGGGGTTAACCCTTTACCCCTACCACCACCACCACTACCACCTCAAGTCCATAGTGTTGGAAACTGTTCTAAAGGACTAGAGGGGCTGGAGCAATAGTACAGCAGGGAGGGCATTTGCCTTGCACGCGACCAACTGGGTTCTATCCCTGGCATCCCGTATGGTCCCCGGAACATGGCCACAAGTGATTCCGGAGTGCAGAGCTAGATGTAACCCCTAACCGTTGCCAGGTGTGACCCAAAAAAGAAAAAAACTGTGAAAAAGGAGAAAGAAGTCTTTCTGTCTTTTAGCTCAGTTGCAGTTCCCAGACTGTTTTGATGGGCCTTCCGTCACAAAAGATGAGATGATTAACCTCCTTCTGCTACTCCTACCTCCTCTTAACAATAGAGTCAGGAGGTGGCACACGTTGGTTTTCACCTTTCTGAGCTTCCTAGCATTCCCATTCTGTCCTGCATCCCTAACCCGCCAGAGGCCTTGTCTTAGTTCTCTAAGTGATTCAGTGCCCTAAATACCGTGTCTCAGACAGACCATGGCTTTCCCGCCTCTGCATTGGTTTTGAATCAGCTCTTGGCAGGTGGGTTATTTGATGCTGAAGATGAATTGAACATGGATGGGAAGTCAGGGGCTGGCCCATCATGGTTTGTCCAGGCCTTGATCTGAGCTGTGAGGAATTCAAGAGGGTAGAAGTCATGGGCATGTCAAGGACAGAGTGGTACTGTGGGGGCTGGGGAGGAGGTGGGGGTCCTTCTGTGCGAGCGAGCTGCAGACCGGCGTGTGGATATGGGGTTTGAGCTCGCAGCTGCGCCGCTCTATTTAAGGTAATTCCCTCATCTGAAGATCCTGATAGCTTGTTGATCTTAGTACCCTGATAGTCTGATACCTCTTCTTGGCAAGAGCTTCCCTGGATGTGGGGAGAACTCTGTGGTGCCAGGGATTGACACGCATGCAAGGCTTGTGCCTCACCACTGAGCCACCTCCCTGGCCTTACTCCAGTTCCCCCTTGATTCCCTCCCATCTGCTCCTGGACCAACTGGTTCTGGAGTGCCTTGGGTCTGTCCTGCATACCTTCCAAGGAGACCTCCTGACCCGAGAGGCCAGGCAGCGGATATATATGGAATCAGCCAAGCTTGTCCCAGTGGGTGTCTCTGTGCTTTGTGAGCGGGCAAGAAACAAGGAACGTGCACATTCCCAGTCTGTTTCTTAGCCAGAGTGTTTCCATGTGATCTGGGCGACACATGGCCGGCGGCCAGAGAAGAAGGCGGCATTCCCAGGTCGTCCCCGAGATGATTGGAGTTGGGGGTTCAGGGAATGTCTTGGTTAGGTGTGGAGAACAGCATGGCTTAACCGACTGGTGTCTTTGCTTTGTTGCAGGGGAGCTATCCGGTTTGGGAAGACTTCATAAACAAAGCAGGGAAGCTCCAATCCCAGCTTCGGTAAGTAGAATCGCGTCATCCCCAGGAAAACGGTATCTTCAGACCACAGAGGGATCTTCAGCCCTGCCCTACAGAGGAGGGATAATTTGGGAAGTGTGACAGAGGAGTATCGCTGCCCCCTTGCCCATGGCCACTGGTTCTCAGCCCTAGGACAGATAGAACTCTTGCCTATCCCGAGTCCTCCCATGGGGCTTGGAGAGGGAGCCAGGAAGAATTTTTGTAGCACTTAAATTCCAGCCATTTGCTGACTTGATAAATCTGACAAGCCCAAGAGGTAAGGACTGTTGTACCCCCATTTTGCTAATGAGGAAACTGAGGCCTGGGTGAGCTGAATAATTTTCCTGAAGTCACACAGCTGGGGCTGGAGTGATAGTACCGTCAGCCTTGCACGTGGCTGACCCAGGTTCCATCCCTGGCAAGCCACATGGGTCCCCTGAAGCTCACCAGGAGTGATCCCTGAGTGCAGAACCACGAAGTAAGCCCTGAGCACTGTTGAATGTACCCCAGTCACCTCCCCCCTCAAAAAAAAAAACCTGAAACAAAAATAAAGTCACACAGCTAATTAAGAAGGCAGATGGGAGTTCTTTTGGGGAGGTGATGGAGGTGTTCTCAAGTGGGATTGTGGTGTGCTTATTGCTCAACTTCCCATTTATTTCTTAGAATGTTCTTGATGGGGCCAGAGAGTACAGGGGTAAGGTACTTGCCTGCACACAGCTAACTATGCTTGAAATCTGGCATCTCGTGTGGTTCCCTGAGCCACCCAGGAGTCACTCCTGAGTGCAGAGCTAGGAGAAATCCTTGAGTACTGCTGGGTGTGGCCCCTGAACAACAAAGTCCTTGATTCCTCCCTATACCTGCAAGGGTGAATGTAGTAGGTTGTTGTATTAAAAAACTATCCGTTCTTGGGGCTGGAGCGATAGCACAGTGGGTAGGGCATTTGCCTTGCACGCGGCCGACCCGGGTTCAATTTCTAGCATCACCTATGCTCCCCCGAGCACCAGGAGTAATTCCTGAGTGCAGAGCCAGGAGTAGCCCCTGTGCATTGCGGGTGTGACCCAAAAAGCCCTCCTTCCCCTCCCTAAAAAAAGAAACCTATCTGTTCTTTTCTTGGTCTGAGGGGCTGTGGCTATTGCTGAATCTTGGGTGGCAGCTTCTGTCCTTCTGGGAGATCCTGCTTGGCCCTCTTCAGTCAGCTGGGAGGAAAAGGGTTCTGTTGGGCTCCCTGTGGGACAAGGGAGTCAAAGGGCCTCTTTAAAGGGTGCTCTTTGGGGGCTTGTTGGTTGGGTTGGATGAAGGAGCTGCATTTTCCAGGGTACAGGGGACAGAGCAGGCAGCTTTCCTCGGATGAGAATGCATGTGGATGACGGAGCGGGGAGGTCAGCCGGGGTGCTCTAGTGCCTAGATCAGGACCCTAGGAATTCAGCTCCAGGCTCAGACATAAGCCGGAACATTGCCTTCTTGTTCCTGTGGGCATGTAGGCCTGGCATGTCCGTCCAGGAACCTGAAACTCGTGGGTGGGAGTGGGCCTCTAGCGGGCCGGGGCTCCTGGCCAGAGTCAGGTCCTTTCCTGTTTCTTGGATCAGCTTCAGCCTTGCAGTGCTCACTACACGCAGCCTGGGCCTGAGCCTTTCCGTCTCACTGTATTGACTCATCTCCCATCTCCTGGCCCTGTTTGCTGGTCTCTCAGGTCTTCGCTGCCCCTGTCGCCTTGCTGCTCCTGCAGGGAAGCCCAGGAGCATGCCCCACTCTCTGCTAGGGTCTGTCCCACAGCACTGGAGAATTGTGCAGTGCCGGGGGTCAAACCCGGGGCTCCTGCCTGTGTTCTGGCCCCCACAGTGTTCCTGATTTGGGGTCACTTCTCTTAGCAGATGCACCCTCATGTCATGTCTGACTCAGGAATAGCTGTTCCTCTTTTACCATAGAGGAAGTTAGAACTGATTAACTGTCTTATTTGGGGGGAGTAGATTTCCAGATGGGCTCAGGAGACCCACGGGCCACTCCCAGCACTGACCACAAGTCCAGTTCTTGGCCAACTGGGCTTGTGGTCAGTGCTGAGGCTAGGGAGGATGTGGTCCTGCTTGGGCCCTGCAGTGCTAGAATTTACCCAGGGAGGTACACTGGACCTCCTGGTGTGCGACCCAGCGATGCTGGAATTGGCCTGGGGTAAGCTTTAACTCCTCCTCCCCCAAATATCTCTCTCAAATGCCCCAGAGAAGATTTGGACTAATCTTATTTTATCCCACTGATAGGAACCACATTTTGTGTGTTTATTTTTTTAAAAAAACAACATTTTAGCTTCCCAGAGGGGCTGGGATCTTTGTTCTGAGGAACTGTGAGCACCTGAGACTCCTCTGGGTGCCTTGTGCACATTTAATATGCAGTATTTGAGAAAGGATAAAGATAAGACCGGAGAAGAAGCAAATGAGTCTGGGTTTGGGTAAGCAGAATGGCTGCTGTTTGGATCTGGCCTTGAGGCTGAGATGTCCAAGGACACTGTGGTCAGTGAGCACTGACTCACTGGAAAGCAGGACTCAGCCCTTGACCACTGTTTTCAACAGAGCCCCCAGGACCTGACTGGGGAGGCGGTGGGGGTGGGGGCGTATGCAGGGCACCTCTACAACTATAGCTGGTTCATTAAATTGGCATGATTGACATTGACTTGAACGAGACTAAATTGTGCCAGACATTAATTATAAATCAGAGTGAACTGGTTATAACCCCCAGGTGTTGGATCATACTTAATTTTTCAGGGTTTGCCTTTGGTGTCGACGCTTACTAGTTTTTAGTTTTCATCAAAAAATTTAAAATTGGGACCAGAGTGATAGTACAGCAGGTAGAGCGTCAGCCTTGCACGCAGCTGACCCGGGTTCAATCCCTGGCATCCCATATAGTCCCCCCAAGCACTGCTGGGAGTAATTCCTAAGTACAGAGCTAGGAGAACCCTTAAGCGTTGCTGGGTGTGAGCCAAAAAGCAATAAAAAAAAATTGTGGGCAACATCGATTTTGGGGTGTGTGTGTGTGTGTATGTATGTTGACTGTTTTTCAGAAGTGCCTTTTCAACCCCTATTCTAAAGGTGCCACCCCACATCTACCACCAGATGCCAAAATCCTTCTTCTGTTGGATCCTCTTGGTGTCAGTCTGTGGCACAGCTGTAGAGCACTTCACTGCCTGAAGCCTTGGTTTGATTCCTGGCACCACCTTCCCCAGCCTATGTCGAATACGCGTTGAAGCGGGCTTTTGGTGGGGCCTGGGTAGAGGTTTTTTTTTTTTTTTTTAAGCCTTGTGCGGACTCATAGGCCCCACTCAGATTTTGAAGTTGAACTGTCAGGGACTGTGGTACCCAGGGACCCATCCTGGGGCCTCCTTGGACCATTTTGTGTCTTCACCACTGTTGTCTTGCATGTCCAGAGGCCATTTCCATTTCTTTACTTTGCAGTCCTTACTTTCCTCTTCCTTCTTAATCCCTGGCACTCCCTGTGGTTCCCCCGGAGTCCAGCCAGGGGTGATCTCTGAGCAAAGAATCAGGAGTAAGTCCCGAGTACCACTGTGTGTGGCCCAGATCAAAAACAAAAACAAAAGTGTGTGTCTGTGGGGTGAGACAATGAGTTTTAAATGGGAGAAGCGAATTTTTAGAGTATGCTCCTCTTCTTAAAAAATGGGGGAAAAGATTTGCATTTTTAGGGATGCATAGTCAAGCTTCTATTGCTGTTTTAGATATGGAAATGACAGCTAGGCTTAACTTTTATCTAAGAGGGATCTTTCAGGGGCTTGTGGGAGGATCTTGGGGCCTTATTTTGGGTATCTTACTGTGCTTACTTTGGGTATACAGGGGCCTCTCCACTGTTGGACAGGTTGAATCACAGTTCTAGAAACTAGCAGACCACAGAGTGCTCTGACAATGTCCTGGAGAATGTGGATTTTGAAATCATTTCCAGGACTTTGAAACGAGTTCAGTGACATTTTTCTGTTAACTTTTCCCATTCTTAGCTTTTAGGAACTAGATACAGTTGAGCCAGCCATTCATAGATTAAAAAAAATGATGTCAGTTTTCATTGGAATTGTAACATAAGAGAAGACTCGTACAGCTAAGATCTTGTGGGGGGGTGGGTTGAGCCTGAGCTTCTTCAGAGTCTATGAGGCTGCTATATCCCAGCTCTGCTAAGAACGAGAGACCCTGAGGGTCTGAAGTATGATTCCTAAGCCACAGCATGGGGACATAGGCAGTGCCAGGGACTGGACTGACACCAGTCACATGCCAGTTGAGCACATCAAGTACTATACTATCTCTCTTACCCCTGCGGAAAACTGACTTCCCCAAATTTAACCTGCCACTGGCCTGACCCTTGCTCATACACAGTTGGTTAACATACACTTTGTAGGTTATATGTATTATATGCCGTAAAATTAGAATAAAAAGACAACATGTATATGTATATCTGTGGCTTTTTGGGTAACAACCAGCGATGCTCAGGGCTTACTCCGGGCTCTGCATGTAGGAATCATTCTGGCAGTGCTTGGAGGATGCCGGGGATCGAGCCTGGCTCAGCTGTATGCAAGGCAAATGCCCACCCCACTGTACTCTTGCTCCAGCCCAAGAAGACACTATTAAGAAAATCATAATAGCAAATAGATTTATAGTACTGTAGTGGATGCATTTTTTGGGGGGAAGGAAAAAAACCTACAGATAGACCCATGAAGTTTAAAGCCCTACTGTTGAAGGGTTAGTTTTGTGTGTATAATTTTTCTACTGTCAAAATTCATCTCACCCTATAAAACTCCTTGTTTCCCTCTGCCTCTCCCTTGTTTTCATTTTTGTTTTTGGGCCACACACCGTGGTATTCAGGACTTACTCCTGGTTTTTTTACTCAGCGATCACTCCTGGCTGCACTCTGGGGAACCACAGGGAGGGAGTGCCAGGAATCAAACGTTGGTTGGTGTGTGCAAGCCCCTTACCCTCTGTACTGTCTCCCCCTACCTCCCGCCCCTATATTCTGTTAAATGGTACTTTTCTTTTAGATGAGAACACTTGTTTTTTTGGGTTTTTTTTTTTTTTTTGGCTTTTTGGATCACACCCAGCGATGCACAGGAGTTACTCCTGGCTCTGTACTCAAGGATTATCCTGGCGGTGCTGGGGAGACCCTATGGGATGCCGGTGATCGAACCCAGGTCGGTGGCGTGCAAGGCAAACACCCTACTCGCTATACTATTGCTCCAGCCCTGAGAACACTTGTGTCTTCCTCCAGTGTGAAATTTTTGCCTAGTTGCTAAGTTTTGAGTGAAATGGGATGAGAATTGCTTGCTTTTTAGTGACTGGCACCACCAAAGTTGTCAAATCGTGGGGTGGAGCTTGGATCCAAGGAATGTGGGCCAAGGAAACAAAAAGCTCTCCTGTAACAGAGGGCAGTGGTGGGGTGGTTCAAGTCTTTGGACATTTTCTGCAGCCAGGTTTCACCCAGGCTCGGCCAAGGCCTCAGCCCTTCAGCTGTCTGGGTTTGTGGAAGAAGCTGCCCCTCACGCTTCTGTTATCTGTTTGCATTTAGGACAACTGTAGTAGCAGCAGCTGCCTTCCTGGATGCCTTTCAGAAAGTGGCTGACATGGCGACCAGCACCCGCGGTAAGCAGATGGAGGGATGGCGGCCGGGCTCCTGCTTCTGGGTGGTTTCACGGGAACACATAGCTGACGTGATCTGCTTAGCTGACTCATGTTTCAGTTTGGAACAAAAACACCCCCCCTCACCCCGCCAAGCTCCGTGGGATTCCATCGTGCAGCAGTTAGATGTAGTTTTCCCCCTTCATTCCACAGAAGATGAATGAGAAGAAGGACCTCGGCATTTATGCCTGAGGTGGCTTGATGCACCAGGTGGTCTGCTGTGATTTTTTTTTGGAGGGGGGTAGGGGGGCACTTTGAATTGTGTGTTGATTGCAGAGCCTTGAGCTGTGAGCTTGGGTCTAGTTTGTTTTCCCTCCTCACGGCCATTGGCCCCATCTCCCCCCGGTTCTCTGTGGACCGGGACTGATGGGTGTGCTGCTCATCAGAGGACCCCATCTCTAAGTAGTGTGCTCTGGTGCCTGTCTCCCATATTTGACCGGAGATTTTGGGGTTGGCGCTGCCGGAACCCTCCCAGACAGTGTGCCCAGAACATAGTAGATATTTAACTACGTTTTAACAAACAAAGCTACTGCTCCGGAAAGGTGGTTTTTTTTTTTGGTCTTCAGTTCTTTCATTGACTACCGCGTCATACAAAAGAATGGGTGCAGGTCACTGAGAAGAAAGTCAATCCTCCTGCACCCAGCATCATCATTGGGAAATCGACATACTCATGATACAGAACCCTTGTTCAGAGGGGGAAGGGAGGCACCTAACTCCTTTATTTTTAATAAGAGAATCTCTCCTGCTTCTGTTTTACCATTTCTGGGTTTGATTGGTGGCACGAACACCGGGCCTATTTTCTGCATTAAGGTGACCTTGGGAAAACCAGGGTGAGGAGGCCAAGGGTTAGGGAATCACGCCAGAGGCACGGGGCTTGAGATTTCTCTCTGAAGTCCATACAGGTACCTGCAATGAGTGTCAGAAGGTACCGTAGTTAACTGCCAAATGCATTTGCGTTGAAGACCCTTCCCATTCACTGAGTGCACTTGAGAACTGCTGATATTTTGGGCTCTGTGTGTGTGTGTGGGGGGGAGGGGAACGGTCAGAAAAATCTGCCCATGGCTCTATCCCAGCTTGCTTGCAGTTGACTGAGCCTGGGGGATGCTAGCGGGGATTAGGGGATGGAAGGTAGGGGAGAAGCAGAAAGAGCTTTGGTATAGAAATATTTGGTACCATAACAGTGGTAGAACAGAGTGCTGGGGGGAAATACAGAAAAGTGAGCAATTAAAACTCAGCTCAGGGAATTGGGGAACTCTCTCAGGGGAGGGAATAGTTCTCCTTGTTTCCCAGCTGTTGACGGTGTTTGAAAGGTCCCCTGGGACACTGGAATAGAGGCATTAAAGCAAAGCTTCTTCTCACATGTTTCTCTGGGTCTTAACCAGTATCTTTTAAAAAGTGCCTTTAAAAATTACGTAGCATGTGCATACATTACAGAAAAGTTTAAGAAACTGTAAGTCTAAAGAAGAGTTTGTCACTCGGGTTAGTATTGACCACAGTTAGGATCATCGGGTGTGTTTTATAATCATTCCTTCCACTTCCGTCCTGGACCTTCCGTGTCCGCTCATCTGCTGTACTTCTAGAAAAGCCAATCAGAATGGGTCTCTCTCAAGAGCTGGTCTGTTTCATTGAACTGAGATTTCCGGCATGGCATCTTTGAGGCTTTTGCATTCGGCTTTTGTATTCGTCATTCACTTTTATATATTGTAGCGTATGATCTTTGGATGGACCCTAAAGGCATATCTGCCTGTGATTTCCTGTAGTGGGATCCTGGGCTTTGCACCGAGGCTGCTCCTTGGAGTGATTCTTGGTGGGAAATTAGAAGGCCTGCAAGTTCTCATGGTAAGGGAGGAAAAACAGTGATTATTTGTGGGAAAAGAAACCAGAATAGCCTCTCTGTGGTGACGATGGAGGCGGAGGAGGGGTTTGGAGGTGATATATTTGACAAAAGACAAACAATGTCACCGTGCCCAGACTCCGGCTCTGATATATTTTTAAACCATCAGGTCATTTTTAGTGTGGAGAGACTCCATTTTGACATGTCTAGAATCCATACATTCTGGGGTGGGGGAAATAGCTTTCTGTTGAGTGTGGGAGTGGGAACGCTGTGACTTGAACTGAGTGGTTGGTAGAATGAGATGAAGGTATATTACCAAGCCTAAATGCATCTCTCATATGTTCAGTGTCAAAAGTGATTATTGTTGAATTGAGTTATATTTTAAAAATGGAAAACTAAAAAAAAAAAAAAAATAAAAATGGAAAACTATCACACATGCTCTCTAATGTTGAAAATTCATCAAACTATAGGAGATAAAATCCACTCTCCCAGTACTGGATTTAGCATTGTTGATAGGCTTTGGGGGCCTATCACTGGGTGGAAAAAAGGGCTAGTTGCAGAACGTTATGAAGAATGACAAAGGGAGTGCAATCCTGCAGTCATTTGCTAAAGACTGCTCTTGGGAAGTGTTCTGTGCTTTTTTTTTGGTGTTGTAATCTCTCACATTCTTTCTGGTGTTCAGGTAGGACTGACCAAGGGTAGGCACACGCAAATCATGCTCCTATTGATGGCTAGTTAGTTGAACTCCATTGATTTGCTATTAAAAGTTCCACTGCACTCAATGCCCATGGATTAAAGCCTGTTGGAGATCTAGGAGTAATCTATTTTTAATGGTGTCTGCGTCACCAAGGAAATGATGAGTCTGTAGAAAATATTTCAAGCTGTGTTTGTCAGCAACAAATATGCTTGGGCTAAGGTCACAGGCTAACGCAATTTGCACTTTGATATCTCTGCTCTAGAGAAAGTGCAGCTTCTTGCTTAGAGCCTGTAGATATATTTTGTATCTATCTTTTTTGGGGGTAGGGTCCACTCCAAGTGGATGCTCGATCACAGGTCTCTGTATGCAGAGCCTGCCAAGGTAGCCCTTTGTGCCACCTCCCTGGCCTTAAATGGGTTTTCAGGTTCGTTCTCTCTCTCTCTCTCTCTCTCTCTCTCTCTCTCTCTTCCCCCCCCCCTCTCTTTCTCAATGATAGATGGCAGTAGCAATTATTTCCTTTTTTGATTCTGGGACCACACCTCACTGTGCTCAAGTATCACTTCTGGTGGGACTGAGGGGACCATGTGTGGAGCAGGGATTGAACCTGGGCTGGCCACAAGCCAGGCAATCACCTCTGCTTGCGCAGAGGACCTTTCTCTCACCTTTCCTCACCGTTCTCTCTGACCCAGAAGAAGTTCTTCTGAAACCTCTCTTTTAGGCAAACATCCAAAGTCTCTTGCTTCGCAGGTCTCTGGATTTCCAAAATATTAGCATTCCATGTTATTTCCCAAAGGAAACAGTGTTGGAAGGACTTGGTCCTTCTCAGCAAATATTTTGCACCAGCAAATACAGTATGCATAGAAAAACCCTTTTCAGTAAACTGGTCACTCTCAGAAAAATCAGCCTAGTTGTTATTTTAACTATCGTCAGAGAGTGAAAGTATATTAAGGCTCATCTCTTCCCCCCCACACCCCTTCCTCCTTTTAAACTGCAGTAATTTGCTAGTACAACAAGTCTACTTAAGTTAATGATTAGACTGCAGTGAAATTCAGAAGTTTATTAGCCACACGGTGCATAGTACACATATGTATCTTGTTGGTTTTGCACTTCGGGATGAAGACGGTGTATGTTGCCTATGAACTTATGTCTCTTGATTGCTGGCCTTGAGTAGCGCTGGGACGTCCGGGACACAGAACATCTGGGACACAGAATCCAAACTCCTGGGTGCAGGGTCCCCATTTCTTTCCTGTCCAACTGGCAAACGAGTGAACGAAGGTGGCAGGGTGAGGCTTGTCACCCCTCTCCACTGAGCGGCCCATCTTGGGTGGTGACCTGCCTTCATTTGCCAGGGTTGACCCTTGACCCCTAACCCCCCACGCCCTGCCTTTCGTTGTTGTCCTCAGCCCCAGCTTTTAGCGCCCTCATGCTCTTTCCTTGTGTCACAGCAAGAATCTTTGAAGAGCATCTGGCTGGGTGACGTTCATTGGTGGGTGTTCCTGGGTGCCCCTGTTATTGCTTTCAGGCTCTGCCAGGCCCTCTTGGATGTTTTGAGATGTTTAAGGTTCTGAGAGGGCAGAAAATGCCTGCCCTCCACCCCCGGATATCCTGGAGGCTTTTACTTTTTGGGTCACACCCGGCGATGCACAGGGGTTACTCCTGGCTGTGCACTCAGGAATTACTCCTGGCGGTGCTCAGGGGGACCATATGGGATGCTGAGGATCGAACCCGGGTCGGTCGCATGCAAGGCAAATGCCGTACCCGCTGTACTATTCCTCCAGCCCCATACCCCGGAGACTTCATGGACTATTTTAGAGAGTGGTTCTCGTGTGTACTCTTGTTGGCTCATCTCCATGGTGTGTATACAGTACAGGAGGTGGGTTCTGTTTTGCTTCTTCCTCTGGGCTCAGGGAGGGGGTTGCCTGAGTCCCATCCGCCAGGGTCAGATGACCAGTCAGTGGTCCAGTGAGCCTAGACTTTTTAGCCGGGAAACTATGATTTTTTTTTTTTTTTGCTTTTTTGGGTCACACATGGCGATGCACAGGGTTACTCCTGGCTCATGCACTCAGGAATTACTCCTCGTGGTGCTCAGGGGGATCATATGGGATGCTGGGAATTGAATCCGGGTCGGCCGCCTGCAAGGCAAACGCCTTACCTGCTGTGCTATCACTCCAGCCCAGAAACTATAATTCCTTAGGTAAGGAACTCTGGGGCTACCTGTCAGCCTATATTTGTGTTTACAGTTACAGTCCCTGTATTTGTGTTTACAGTTACAGTCCCTGTATTTGTCCCTGAGCCTGTGAAACCAATCTCTTTGTTACACAGTGGAGTTGGGCTGCCTGGCCTGGTCTTCCTTTGTGACTCTGATGAAATTCTAGTTCAGTTTTCTGGCCTCTAATGTACTTTCTGTATTCACGGAGCTTTCTCAGGGACTGG